AACCAGGGATCTGCCTACAAAATTCTATGAGGAAGTTCTACTGTGTCATATTGGGTTGTTATGAGTTGAAAATTGACTCAACAGCTCCTAACAACAATAACAACAGCATGATAAGATAAGAAATAATTTTGTTATTCTAATAAAGTGGTGTTCAGTGATTTTCAGGACATGTATAGGATAGAGCTTTTGTTTTTTGCTTTTTAATTGTACGTAAATTAGGGGCTGGGAGGCTGACCTTTCCTCTGTGTATGTGTTTCTTTATATGTATATGTAAGTGCATGAGATTGCATAAATAGCTTATATAAATACATAGTTATGCCTATGCAAATATGTCACCTTTTATTTTTTAATTCAACTTGGTTCTGGATAGTGACTCACATACTTTTTTCAGCTAATCATTGTCACCATTGTCCAGAGGACTGGTTCTCCTATTCCAACCATTGCTATTATATTAGCAGTGATATAAAAAACTGGACTGAGAGTCGGATGGCCTGTGTTTCTAAGAAATCTAATCTGTTTTATATGGATAATGAAGAAGAAATGGTAAGATTTCAAATACTTGAAATATTTTATTGAAAGTTATAACATACTAAAAGAAATGGATACAAAATATATTTGAGTGAATAACAACTATCAAGAAACATTACTGATGTGCCATATGTCTCCTATGCAACTTAAACAATAAAGATTTGCCTGCTTTGTAAGTTATATAAAGAGAATTACACTACATGAAGTGTTTAGTGTCTGACATATTTCAGTTGATGTTGTGTTTTTAGGATTCACCCACATTTTTGTCCATGTTGTTGTTAGTTGCCCTTGAATTGACTCCGACCCATGGAGACCTTATGAATGAGGAAAACGTTGTCTGGTCCTGTGCCATCTTAATGGTCATTGGTGTCTCTGAGTCCATTGTTGTCCGTTCATCTCACTGAACTTTTTTCTCATTTTCACTGGGCCTCTGCTTTATCAAATGAGATGTCCTTTTCCAGTGATTGGTCTTTCCTGATGACGTGTCTGAAGCAAGCAAGCCAAAGTCTCACCATCCTTGCTTCTAAGGAGCATTCTGATTGTGATTCTTCTAAGACTAATTTTTCCAGAGTTGTGCTTTATTTGTTTCAAGGCTACATAGTACTCCATTGTTTGACTTGACAATGCTTTATTTATATTTAATATCATTAAAATACATTGGTTTATTTCATTCTTGCTATTTATGAAAAACAAAGCTTCCGTAAACTTTTTTTCCTAAAATAAACTTTGTTGTTTCATTTGACCATAAGCAAATAAATCAAAATTGTGAAGATTAATCACAAGACGAATAGATCCATGTAGTTACAAACCAGGTCAAGAAATAGAAAATTGTAGCCGCCCTTCCTGCATTAGCTCTGCCCCTGTGTATGCTCTTATCACTTCTCCGTCTTCTTCCCAAACCACTCTCCTGACTTTTATTACAGATTAGCTTTACTCAGTTTTGAACTTTGTATAAATGGAATCATACAGCATGCATTTTTGAGTGTCTCCTTTTACTCACATATGGTATCTGTGCCAGTGAACTATATTGTTGTGTTTAGTTGTAGTTTGTTCATTTTCAATGCTGTGTTGTGTGAGTAAACCCACCAAACATAACGAAAAAACCGAACCAGTTGCCATGGAGATGATTCCGACTCACAGAGGCCCATGTGTTTCAGAGCGGAGCTGCACTCCAGGAGTT